GCTAAGTGGGCAGCTGGGGCAGTGCCTCCCAGAGTCACTGGCCTTTCTAGACAATCCTCAGGCCAGTTCACTGTGGGAGCCAGGACCGGCCGTGGGGTTCCCTGGAACAGAGCTTGACCAAGGTGTGCGCCTGGGACAGGGCTGTCCCCACCCCAAGGCTGCACTCAGAGCTCCCGCCTCAGGGCACCCACACCCCTGACCCCACACGCATCATCTGCGGTCCCCAGGAGCCATTCACGTGCCCCCATGAGTGACCCCCAGCACAGGTGGTGCGCGTGCCCACACTCAAGCAACACGCATTCTCCTGTCCGTGTTTTGTGAGAGCCGCAGCAAAACAGAAGGGTTGACACTTGCCAGAAAACAGACCAGGAAGGGCTCACTGAGTGAGTGAGTGAGGGGTGGATGTTTGCATGGATGGACAGACAAACGGATGGCTGGATGGAGGATGGGTGGGTGTCCGACAGACTGACAGCTGGGACTTCCTGCCTGTGAGCCGGGTGGGTCTTGGAGCCGGTCTGGGGGGGGTGTCAGGGGAGGAGGCGAGGGGTATGCGGAAGGTAAGCTTTCTGGGCCACAGATGCTCACCCCCTCGCCTCTGGCAGAGATGCTGCGGGGCCTGGACACGCCGACTGAGACCCACCCGGGCCTCCGGGCCTGACCCTCGGCTGGGCTGCAGGCCGCTGCCGGCGCTGCTCCTGGGAGAGGCGGCCGTGGAGGTACTGAGGTCTGGTCTCTCGGCTCTGCCAAGCCACCTGCTTACCTGCTCCAGCCTCCCTGTCTGTGCCCTTCCCCAGCCCGCCTCTGTCCCTCTTCACTCTCCCTACCCTCACATTTTAAATGAAGTAAAACATACAAAAAACTGCATGTATCTTAAGCGGGCCACCAACTTCCACAAACCACGCTCACCTCTGTAGCTGGGACTCGGAAACAGCGTCACAGCCCCTCAGAAGCCCCAGCCCCTGTAACAAGCCCACCTGCCTCCAGCAGACCCCGACCTTCGGCAGGGACTCCGGCCGGAGGTGGGTCGGCCTGGCCCGGCTCGGTGGCGGCGGCTGCCCTCTGCTGGCTGCCCCTGGGAGCTGCGCACAGGGAAGGAAGAGGCCCCGCGGACGGCCAGTGTGTTCTCTGTTGCTGTGGCAAATCACCCCAAACTTCGTGGCCCAGAACGACACATTATTACTTTACAGCTCCGCAGGTCAGACATATGACACAGGGCTCACTGGGCTAAATCGGTGTCTGCGGGGCTGGACGCCTTCTGCCACCGTCAAGCCAGCAATGGTGGGCCCGTCTGCCACTGCTGGCCTCAGGCTCTCCGTTTATGGGGCTCACGTTAGACCGCGTCCCCAAGACCATCCAGGAGAATATCCCCATCTCTCAGCCCTGAATCATCACATCTACAAAGTCATTCCTGCTGTGCAAACTAACCTGTTCACATGGACATCTTATTCTGCTACTACGTCCCATACACGGGGCTGCTTCTCCCTCGGCCGGGATTCACGGGTCCAGGAACCAAGGGGTGGAAGTGACAGTGGCCCCACGATTTGCCCCTGGTGACCCACTAGCGAAATGTTTGCTTCCTGCCCCCAGACCGCATGCTCTGCGGCCATGAAGGCCTGAGCCGCAGAGGGAGGAATGCTCCCACCAGGGGACCCCATGACCCCACTGAACTGGAAGTCAGACTGTCATCCGGCCACGTTGGGCTCCTCATGCCCCCCAATCAGCAGGAGGGGATTTAAATGCTGGCTGGGTGCAATTCCTGTCAAAATCCCAGCAAGCTATCCTGTGATATAAACAAGCTTATTTTTAAATTGATGTGGAAATGCACAGACCCTAGAATAGCTAAAAGTCTTGAAAAAGTAGAATAAAGTTGGATGAGTGACTGTACAAAAAATTAAGGGTTATTGATAGCACCAAGAAAGGGCAGCCTTGGTGGAAGGATAGAAACACAGGTGAACAGAACAGGGAACCCAGAAATAGATGAAATATGCTCAAAGCATCTCTCATGAAGGCACAAAAGTGATCCAGGGAGAGAGCTTCTTCAGCAAACAGGAGTGCTTGGACGCCTGCAGGCCAACAGAGATACCCCCCGATCACACCCGGTACAAAAGTTAGCCCCAATGGATCACAGACTGAAATGTGAACTATAAAACCATTAGGGATAAAAAATGGGAAAAAATCTTTGGGACCCAGGGTTTGGCAGAGATCTTAGACTTGAGGCCAAAAGCACAAGCCATAAAAGGAAATTTTGATAAATGTGGTCTCATCAAAAGTTAAAACCTTTGCTCTGAATATGTAAAGAGGATGAAGAGACAAGCCACAAACCGCTAGGTAGGGGGTCAGTCACACGTACATTGTGCTAAGGGAGACTCAAGTTAACTGGGCCTTATAAAAGATTCATTCATCCCAAAGTCCTCTGTGAGCACCTATTAAGTGCCAGGCAGTGTTCTGGGTGCTTGGAACCCCTGCCCTCAAAGCACTCACATTCTGGCAGGAGAGACAAGCTAAAAACAGAGTAGGAAGCAAAGAGTGTGGTAAGTCAGCAGAGGTCACCTGCAAGAGACAGAGAAACTGCAGCGAGGCCCGGCGGCAGAAGCGTGGCTGAATCCTCTCTGGCTCCTTCCCACTCACAGGGGCCCCTCCACACGGCCCTTACAGCTGGTTATGAAGACCAAGAGGCCCCAAACAGGCCGTCTGCTCGGAAAGCCGGTGGTGTGGTTCAATCTGAGTCTGAAGGAATTGGGCAGCCAGTGGTGCTCGAGCAGAGAGCGCGAATCCTTCCTTCCTCCGCCTGGTGTCCTGTCGGCTGCCGTCCCACCCTGGGGGCCCACCTGCTTTACTCAGTCCACTGAGTCAGACTCCTCCAGGAACACCCTCCCAGACACACCGGGAAATAATGTTTTGCTGGAGATGGGGTAGTGAAATTGACGTGTAAAATTAACTGCCACAAACACCATCCCTCTACAGAGTATTCCCAAATTCACACCTCCTGCCCAGATCTCTTTCCCAGACCCTCATCCTGGACATCCCACTGTCCAGTCAACGTCTCTGATAGGTCTTCCTCAAAGCTACCCCACCCACACCCTCCCTGGGTCAATAGCTGTGCCACCCCTCAAACCTTAGAAGTATCCTCAATTTCTCTGTGCACACATACACCCTGCAATCAAAAGAAGGCCCCCCTTCTCACTCCTCCACTGCACTCACTCCACATACGCTCAGGATTACTGTGGCTTTTACTGGGTGGCAGAGGAGTCCTTTACAAATATAATCTGAAATTCATAGCAGCATTGTTCATATTGGCCAAAAGGTGGTGTTAAAAAAGGAACAACAGGCCCCAAATGGAGTCACTTTCCCACCACAGCAAACCAAGACTTAACTGTAGCTCCAGCCTCTCCCAGGAATGTAACCTTTAAGCAGTCGACCTGGGATTACCTGGTCAGCACTAGTGAGCCTGTCTGCCCTTCCCCCAGAGAAAGGTGACCTTGCCCAAAACAATCCACTCCTTGTTAGAAAACTTCCTTTTCCGCCCCTTTTGTCTATAAAAGCCTTCCATTTTGTACAGCACCTCAGAGCTCCTTTCTACTTGCTAGCTGGGATGCCACCCAATTCATGAATGGGCGAATAAAGCCAATTAGATCCTCAAAGTGCCTTAGGTGAATTTTGTTTTCTAGCGCTGGAAACAACCCATATGCCATCAGCTGATGACTGGGCTCACAAATGTGGTCCATGCATAGACTGTGATACTATTGGCCCCTAAAAAGGAGTGGGGCACTGGCACATGCCACGACATAGATGAACCCTGAAAACACTTTGCTCAGTGAAAGAAACCAGGCACCAAAGGCCACACAGAGTATGGTTCCACTCGCGCGAAACGTGCAAAGAGGTCAAATCCAAAGAGACAGAAGGAAAACTAGTGGTTGCCAGGGGCTTGGGGTGGGAGAAGGAGCTGCAATTGGGCACGCGGTTTCTACGTGGGGTGATGAGAATATTCGAGAATTAGCTAATGCTGAGGGTTGCGCAACGTTATAAACATACTGAAACCACTGAATTGTACACTTTTAAAAGGGTGGGGTGTACGGGGTGTGAATTCTCTCAAGTAGATTTTAAGGTAATTCGGATGGTTCCACTCTGCTCACACATCTCAGGGGCAGTAAAGCTGGGCCCTCACAGGCCAGGTGAGGCCCCTAATCTGCTCCCCTCCCCCCAGCCCTGCCTCCATGCCCATCCTCTGCTCCCCACTCTGCTCAGGCAGGCGGGCACCCCCGCTGCTCCTGGAGCCTCAGCTTTCCTCTGTGCTTTTGCTCTTCCTGGGCTGCCCAGCGCTCTGCCCCTACGCACGCCCCCCCCTCCATCCCCCAACACCTACACACCTGGCTTTGCACCTGTCGCTGCACCTGCATCTGCACCATGAGGCGGGCCTTGGCCAGCCCCCTGGAGACCGCGGTCTCCACGCCCTCACCTCTTTGCTCGGCTCCCTTCTTCCGCTACACTGCTCGACCTTCTCATCTATTACATGAATTTGTGTACTTATGGCCTAAGCTCCGCGCAGGCCCGGTCTTCCGCACTTTGTCCCCGAATATGTCCCCAGCACCTACTGCGTGGCACACAACACGCGCTCAACAAACTCCAAAAAAAGCATTCAAAAGCATTAATTACTACAATGTTGAAATCAAATATTAAACATTAAAACCTAAATAAGCTCCAGTCTTTCCTGCACAGAGATGACCCGGGTGCACGAAAGGACGCGTTTCCGCACATGGTAACAAACAGATGCATTTATTATCGACACACTCCTGGGGAAACGCAGGCCCGGCCTCCCAGCCGGAGCCCGGGGCAGGTACCCCGCCGCGACCCAGGTCCGCACCCGCCGCTGGAGGGCCCGCAGGGCGCAGGCGCAGAGGCAGAAACGCCCCCCCTCGGGCTTGTGGCGCATGCGCGGGCCCCGGAGCTCTCGCGACACGTCGGGCGAGCGGACGCGGAGGCGACTTCCGGGGGCGCCCCGGCCGCCGCCATGGACCCGTTCTTGGTCCTGCTGCACTCGGTGTCGGCCGGCCTGTCGAGCAACGAAGTCACGGAGCTCAAGTTCCTGTGCCAGGGCCGCGTTGGCAAGAGGAAGATGGAGCGCGTGCAGAGCGGCCTCGACCTCTTCTCCGTGCTGCTCGAGCAGAACGAGCTGGGGCCCGAGTGCACCGTTCTGCTGCGCGACCTGCTCGCCTCCCTGCGGCGCCAGGACCTGCTGCGGCGGCTGGACGACTTCGAGGCGGGCGCGGCGCACGGGGCCGCGCCGCAGGAGCGAGGTGGGCGGGGGCGGGGGGGGCAGCGGCGGTTTGTCCCGCTGAGCCCGCCGGGCGCCGCGTCTTTGCCGGGCTTGCTTTGCGTGGGTTTGCACCACGCGCGCCGGGACACGGGGCCTGCCCACGCGCAGGTGCGAGAACCCGGACTGGAGAGGTTGGCTTGGGTGGCAAAGCACGGACCCGCCGCCGCCACCCCCGGATTTCCCTCTGTCACCCCGTTGCTCCAGCTAAACGAGAAATTCCTCGGAAGGAAAGGGCGTTGCCGCCCTCCTTGGGTGGGGAAAGCGGGGCAGGAGTTAGGTAAGCGGTGCTGCTGCGCTCCTTTCCCTTCTGCCTGTGGACGTCGCGCCAATGCCCTTCGGCTGAACGAGAATAACACTAACAATAATTCCCACGCGCACTGGCAGTGTGCCGGCCACTAGCCTGAGCACTTCACGTTATTTGCACGATAACCGGGTCGGTCAGATACTGTGTTCCCAGTGAGAGGGCTGTGGACAGCGATGCTAAGTGACTTGCCCGAGGCGCAAGGCGGTGACCGACCGAGCCAGGACTGCGCCCCCAGAGTGGCCTGTGGGGGGGTGGGCTCAGTCGCCACACTGTCTCTGATCAGGTCGCTCTTGTGACTCCCTACCCTCCCGGGCAGCCCCTCTCCACCCTCACCTGTGGCTTGCAGAGGCTCCAGGAGTAAAAATGAGAACCCGGGTGAAGCAGTTTCTCAGCTCCATCTTTGTGCCTGTGTTGGGGGGCTTGAGGGACACCCCTCACAGGCTTGAAGCCATGACCTGGAATCGGGCATTCAGTCACTGAACCAAAACGGATACAAACATGACAACGTGGTATCGTTGCATGAGGACTGGTGGGTGCTTCCTGGCAAGCTGCGCAGCTCTGCCTACAAGCAGGCAAATTCAGGTTTCATACATATGTATACATATATGTGTGTGTGTGTGTGTGCACACGTACACACGTGGAGCTGGACACACAAATTGGGACTTAGGAAAATTATGCTTTTAAGGATATTCAATTTGGGCAGAGAATGCAGATAGGATACAGTCCACAAAGTGTAGGTAATAACATTTGAGGTTTCTACATATATGTCCCTGTGTGTTTGTTTTTGTTGACGGAGCTATGTTGGAGGACAGTACACAGGTTAACAGCATTGGTAAGAGGCTGTCGTGTATCACTTACAGAGGCCGTTTCACATTATGGTGAAGAGTGAACTTTGGCACCAGACTTGTCAGGGTTTTGCATCCTGGCTCTGCCAGTGTCCAGCTGGATGACCTCAGGAAAATCACCTGCCTTCCCTGTGCCTTAGTTGCTTCATCTGTACAAATGGTCGTTGTAGCACTGTGCTATTGGGGCTGCAGGAGCCCGCCAATAGAACGTTGTCCTTCTCCTCTCCCCCTGTTCCAGAAACAGGTTTTTATGGTCTGTAGTGTCCAGCGTGATGGCTTTTCAAGCTTTTATGGTTGTAGCGCCCAGCTTGATGCCCAGTGAGGATATGGCCAGCAGATGAGGATATGGTAGCCAGGCACCGAAGGATGGTGATCAATCCGGGCAGCGTCCAAAGAAAGAATTGTGTGTGGTAGTGTCCTTGGGCTGCCATACAAATTATCACAACTTTGGTGGCTAAACGCAACAAAAATTTATTCTCTCAGCATTCTGGAGTCAGAAGTCTGAGATGAGGGTGTTGGCAGAGCCCCACCCATCTGGAGGCTCAGGCCAGGCTCCTTCCTGCCTCTGCAGCTCCTAGGGGTTCCGTGTGTTCTTGGGCTTGCAGCCACGTCCCTCGCATGGCTGCCTCACGTGGCCGCCGCCTCTGTAAGGGGCATCTGTCACTGGACTGGCCCTTGTGGGTGGTCCAGGATGATGTCCTCGTCTCAGGATCCCCAGCGACAGCTGCAGAGGCCCTTTTCCAGATGGGTTAGCCTTGACAGCCCCAGGGTTTGATGGGGACATTCTTCTCAGGGACCAGCATTCACCCCTCTGCAGGGTGGGATGGGGACCGCCCCGTCTCCTTCCTTCTGACTCCCAGCCGCCCCCTCAGTCTCTCCTGTCCTGAGAAGGTAGGTCCCCTATAGCCTGCACCTGCCAGCTGGTCTGCAGCAGGCTGCACATGTGGGTAGTGTTTTGGGGCAGAGTAGGGGTTGGCCAGGACAACAGTAGAGGCCCTTGTTGGGTTTTCTGTGACCTCCCCCAGCCCTTCTGCTGCTGAGTGGCATGAGCCCCTGTGAGAAGACCTTGTGTGCCCAGCACTTGGATCAGCAGGAGAAGCCCTCCAGGGAGTGTGAGGTCACCCTTCTAAAGAGCCCCCCAAACCCCTGGGAGTCATTTCATTCTTTCCCTCCCCAGATCTGCGTGCGGCTTTTGACATCATATGTGATAACGTGGGGAAGGACTGGAGAAGACTGGCTCGCCAGCTGAAAGTGTCCGATGCCAAGATCGATGCCATCGAGGAGAAATACCCCCGCAACCTGACGGAGCAGGTGAGGGAGTCTCTGAGAGTCTGGAAGAACGCTGGGAAAGAGGACGCTGCCGTGTCCCACCTGGTGGCGGCACTCAGGGCCTGCCGGCTGAATCTGGTGGCAGACCTCATCGAGGAGGACCAGCAGGCCCGGGACCTCCAGAACCAGGACCTGGCGCCATGTCCCTGATGTGGGGCTCAGGCGCACCTGCCTTGGGATAACGAGCTGCTCCTCGGGGGGGCCAAGGATTCTGAGGGGCCCAGCGCTCACTGACCACTTACTCCGTGCCAGGCAGGGCTTTGGACGCTCTTCACATCCTTCACTGACTCCTCGTGATCCCATGAGGGAGACTCCTGAAGGGTTTGGAATCATGCCCAGCACTTGAAGGGCTGTAAAAATCACCGGTTGTTACCTTTATTGTTGGCAGGTGAGGGAATGAGCACAGAGGCACAGAGCTGGAGGAAGGTCAGCAGCTGGGGAGCTGGGGTGGGACCAGCAGTCCGGCTGCAGGATCCACAGCGGCTCTGCTGCCCCCACACTTGGCTGGTGGCTTTGAGGCCATGCGTGTAGACACGGCCTCGAGCAGGGGGCGTGGGAACTAGAAGGGCGGAGACCCAGGCGTCTGGAGACTCGGTGTGCGCAGGCGCCAACCCCACTGGCACACCAGCTGTGCTGTACGCGTTAGTTCTTGAAAGTGTTGGGATTCCTGTGATTTCACAGATTGTTACTATTTTGTATCAAAATCACTCTTCCTGATAACAGATCTGTTGAGGAAGCTGGATCCTGTAATTATAAGAAATAATCTCTGCCTCTAAGGTAGCCTCGTAAAAGCAAGTGCTTTTGTGGTGAAAACCTCCCTTTTACAAAGGATTTTCCATTCCTGCCAAGAGTCACATCACTTCACATGCTCTGCAGTCTGCGTCTCGGCCTAGTTCCGTATTTCAGTATGGTGAGCCTTGCGGCGTATTGTGGGCTCTGCCTGTGAGTGGGGGGGCTGGATTTCACCAGTCCATGACCGACTGTCGAGGGCACTGTCTGCCCTCGGCACACTGGCCCACAGAGGGCAGCTGTTGCCAGCTTTGGGCCCTGCCTGCCTCCAAGAGGCAGCAGAGAGCCAAGTGGCCATCCCTTATTGGGCCCTTCAGTTGTGACCTTGGGAAAGCCAAATATGATGTCATGCTCTGCTGCTTTGACCTTGGCTTGCTGAGATCCTAACAGCACTGTCCCCCTGAGCTGTGGACCTGGTCTCAGAGCCCCTCGTCACCTTCAGCAAATACTTCCTGATACCAGGCACTGCTAGGAGCTGGGGTCATAGCAGTAAACCAGCCAGAAGTGGCCTTGCTCTCTGACCTGGAAAGCCTAGCCAGCAACATAGGTATTGACAATCCATTGCAGGCCCAAGGCACTGCCACGGAGCTGAACCAGCACTGGCCACATGTGGGGCCTGGCCCTGTGTCGCGTGCTCTACACCATGCTTGCCAGCGGCTCCTGCCTCTTCTGGCCTCAGGTCGGGGCAGCAGACGGGCTGTCACCACCAGTCAGCATGGGGCTTTGCTATCAGTGGCTTTAGGAAATAGGCTTTCTGGAAATTGTGCCCATATTCCTGGAGAGGCAGATTGCAAAGGTTCTGCCATTGCCTTCTGCTTTGCGACATGAGCTGCCAAAATGTGAAAATGCCAAACGCTCTGATACCTGCTCTGTGCCCCTGAGTGCTGGTCACACCTGGAGGGCTCCCCAACCCTCAATCACACCAGGTATTGTGACAGAGGTTTCAGTAATGTGGTTTCTGTGTCACTGCATCCGGAATTTCCATGGCCTGAGACCACATGTTGCACCAGCTGGGTGCCCGTCTCTGGTCCGGCTTACCGCTGTGGCTGGCACTCAGTTCCGCACATGGTGGGGCTCGGTCTGCCCCGAGCCCTGACATCCCAGGACATCCGCCTGGTGAGGGAGATGGGGCCCAGCTTTGGAGCAGCCTCGTGACTGTGGTGTAACCTGGTCTCGAGGCATGGATCTGATGAGCTCCAAGACCCGGAAAGGTGTTGAATGAAAAGCCCCTCTGGGCACGCTGCTGGGCCAGGTGCGTTGTCCACTTCCCAGGGCCTGGAGGTGGGCCAGCCTTGGCAGCTGTGTGCCACAGGCAAAGCTGTGGAGCGCAGTGATGTGCGGTGAACTGCCACCAGCAGGTGGGGCTCAGCCCTAGAGGAGCCTCCCTCTGTTCAGCCCGCACAGCCATCAGTGGTCGGAGACACCCACCATAACTGGTGCTGTGCTAGGTGTCAAATGACAGGACAAGCGGCCGCCCTCGGGAAGTGCAGAATTTCCTGGCCTCGTCAGACAGAAGGGAAGTGGGAGGAGTGTGTGCCCAAGTGCATAGAAAAGCACAAATTCCTTATGGGCAGCAAAACTGGAAAGAGCCCCAGAAGCTTGAGACGGTCTGGGTGATACACTTATTTGTACTTCATGCATTTTCTATAGTGGGGGGTGCCCTCCAGGTACTGGGCCAGGGAGTGGGGGTGTCCCCAGAGGGCAGTGAGCACTGGGGCTCTGGAGTCTGACCTGGGCTCTGCTCCCTGTGGCTCAATCAGCCTGAAAAGGGGCCCATAGACAGATGTGAAGTTCTCGCCTACGTCTGCGGACCTTCTCAGATGCCTTAAAATAAGCAGAGACGTTTCACCCAGACGTCTGTGAAAGGCGGTTCTGGTTTTATGGGCTCACTGCACTCAAGCGCAGCACTTGTCTTCTGGTCCTGGGATGTCCCTTCCCGAGAACCGTCACATCTGCACCGTCCTGCCGCAGGCACCCCCAGCCCTCACTCCCGTTACTCTGAATTGCTGCTTTCATGGTGAAAAGTGTTCTGAATCTTCCTGTGACCTGGGACAGGAGGAGGATTCACCTCTGATTAGAACAACGACCCTTGGGACAGGGTCCCTCACACCCCACCCTAAACGGGGGGCTACTGCAGTCTTTGGACAAGGACTTTTCATGGCAACTTAACAAAAAACAATCCGTGTTCCTCTTCATTTTTTTTTTATAATCACGGAAATTTCCATTTCTGGTAAAGGTGCACACAAGATTCATGATTTCCTTGGGAACTGGAGCCACCTTTTGCTCTCCTTTCCCCTGAGAAAGGGAAAGAGGGTCCAACTTTGTGTTCTTTTGAGATTTCAGGCCGATGAAGGAATTTGATGCCAGTTTCCCTGCCTCACGCTCTCTCCCAGCCCTGCTGTCTGGTCTCAGGCACATTTGGGGCTCTGTCAGTCCCCCCACCTCCAGGGCCCTCGTCCATCCTGTTCTCTGCAGGAACCCGAGGACCGCTCCCCCGGGACTGCCTCTGCTGAAGCCTCAGGCTGCCGGCTTCTAGGGCGTTTGACGTTTCCCGACCATTCCCTGAAGTTTTCTCCTGGTGCTCCCCCCGGCCTCCAACTGGACTCCTGCACACCATGTCCTTGCACAGCCCGTAGCCGTCTCCCCCCAAGTCCCTGGTGCGCACAGGCCCAGGGCATCCTCTGTCTCAGGCCCCTGGTGCCTACCCTGTGCTTGACCCCACTGTCAGCTGCCTCAGCACCTCTTGCTTTTGCAAGGGAACATTCACAGGTCACAGGGATCGGGCGAGGACACCGAGGTGGGTGGCGTTACTCCGCCCACTACAGGCAAACCCCCGTCTCCCCAGGCCTCTCGCCCGGGGATCCCGCCCCACATGTAACCGAGTGGCAGCCTCGACTCTGCCTCGCCAGCCTCTCCTCTCCACCCTCTGCCCCCGTCACGGCCTCACCTCTGCTCAGACACCACCGCCTTGGCTCTTCCCTCCAACCGAATCGTACTGCAGACCCGGCCTGTGCTCTTAGAAACCGCAAGCTCTCCGCACACGTCTTTAGTTCTGTATTTTTATTTCCATGATAAGTGTTCTGAGCCATCCTGCTGGGTGCTTTCTGACCGTCCGCATGATTCCCGCGTGCCTTGCGTTTGGAACCAGAGGCACACGTGACGGGTAGTGCATGCCCGTGTGACAGTGGCCAGTCACATCTGACACAAAGGCAAACCTCTTCTACAGGGCACGTTTGCAACTGAATACATTTTCATCAAAGAAGTCCTCCGTTTCTTAAGTCATCGGCTCAGTCAAGACACTGGCAGGGTCCCACATGTGTGCCCCCGGCGCTGGTCTGTCCTCAGAGGACAGAAGCCAAATCAGTGCTTGAATGGGGGCCACACTGAGCAAGAGCCACATGACGTAAGTGAAGCTTTCGCGGTGTGGCTTGAGTAGAGGAACATCGTGGGCCATTTGAGTCACCCCAACGCCAGGCCGGGTACAAGGCCTCCTGATCTCAGCCCTGATGGCAGGTCTGCAGACACGAGGCAACAATTCTGTTTAATAGAACAGGTTTCATGGGACAGCTACGGGAGGAGAGGACAAATCTGTGGGGACGGATGGTGAGGACTTTTGCACACCATTGTCATGTGCTCAGTGGCACTTGAAAAGATGGCTAAAAAGGTTAGTTTTATATGTTAAGCACAATTAAAAAATCATACCTCAAGAAGCCCTACATTTAATCATGTTATTAATCTGAAGCTTATCTGTTTTGCAGGTTTCTTTCCCTAATTTGTGATTTTACCGTTTCGTAGTTTACAAGGACTAGAATCATAAGCTTATATCTGGCCTTACGTTTGCATGTATGGAAGTGGAAGTGACAGAAACGAAGCCTCACACATCTGGGCGTCCAGGCCCACCGCTCCTCGCAGAGGGCCTTCCTGCTGAAGCAGCGCAGTTCCAAGGGTCCCCAGGCCCCTCAGGGCCGGTCCTGACCCCCAGCGTCACGGATGCCCAGCCTTTGGTTCTCTACAGCTACCCCGCCCCAGCCCCCCCGGGGCCCCCCAGCTCAGACGCCCAGCAGGCTGCCCCTGGGCCTGTCCTGCCCCTGGGCTCAGCTCCCCCGAGCACCGCGGCCCGCGGTTCCTCCTTGCTGCCGCTTCCAGTACCATCCAGGCTTCCCACTGACAGCCGGCCGCGTGTGCGGAGCAGGGGGATGAATAAACCGCACGGTCAAAGGCCAGCGCCAAGTACCCTATGGGGCCCGAGTTCTCTGCGTGAAAGAGAACATGATGGGTGTCGTCTGAGAGCTTCAGGTCCCCCAGTGTGCTTGGCTGTCGCTGGGCATGGAGCACAGGTCCCACCTGGGTGGGTGCAGGCAGGCTGGCTGTGTCCTTTGGTGGGTGCCAGGCTGCCTCCCTAGCCAGTGCCGCCCCCTCACGGTGGCTGAGACCAGAATTTGCCCCTCGCACCACCAAGGTCCTACGAGGGACCCCAGGTAGGCTCCCCCACCCCGAGTCACCACAGGCCACCCCAAGGCCCCACTTCCCCGGGCAGCATGGACACCACGTACCCAGGAGCACACACCTCTGCTCTGGGCGCTGGGCTGCATGTTCCATCCGAGTGTCCATTCACCCGCTGTGCATTCAGTCCCACGTTCTGGGTCAAGGCTAACGACTCACGATGGTGGCCACCTGCGCCCCCAGCTCGCCTGGGTGACCGCAGTCAGCCCCCGGCCCGGAACTCCCTTTCTCACCCCGTGAGACCCTTCCTCGCCCTGGGATGCTGTGAGGCTCAAGGAGATGAGGTGGGAGTGTCTGGGAGAGGCTGGCACATGGTAAAGTTCACCAGATGTCACTGTTTTCATTATTCCTGAGTGAGTATGTGTTTTAAAACAACTTGCTTTCACACCAGCTTAGCTGAGTAAAAACTCTATGGTCACACTCTGATTCTAAAGTGTCTGGAGACATGGGGCAGTGCCTGGGGAAGCAGCCCCAGCGCCCCTCAGCCACCGCCCCGGCCTACAGGGGCTTCTGCCTAAGGGCAGTGGGAAAGGGGCGTCCTCTGTCATCGGGCCTCACCGAGGTGGCCGGTGCTGCGGATCACAAACCAGAAACAATGGGAAGCACCCTGCCAATAATGGACGGACGGGACTCGGAGGCTGCCTCAGCTTGCTCGGCACGGACCAGAACTCGAGCAGCCAGGAGAGACAGGAGCCCTGGGGAGGCGAGGGACGATGGGGCCGGCGAGGGGGCTTGACGCAGACAAGCCGAGCAGTGCCTCCAGGAGGCTGGCCTCCAGCGCCAGCGTCCCGGGCTTCAAACCCCAGCTCTGCTGCTTTGCCGCTGTGTGGCATTGGGGAAATTCACGCTTTTACAGTACTACGTTGGAGCGGCGCTGTTGAGGGTTCTGTGCATTGTTCGGAGCCCAGGGTAAGTACGTGAGGAAGGGTGCCAGCTCCGTCATTCTGGTGCAGTCTCAGCAACAACATTGCTGTGGCATTTGTGTAGCAGACGGTGGAGCCACGACACGAGTGTCACCCAGCTGCTGAGCCAATTTGCTCTGCTTCTGGGCCCCCTCCCGTCATGTAAGCTAACGTTTTTTTTTAAAGCCAGCTTGATTGGGTTATCTGACACTTGCCGAGAAAGGCAGCATAGTGGTCATAAAGGACTTTAGAATATGATAAAGGTGGGGTTTCAATATAGTGAGAAAACCTCCAGTAAATGGAGTTGGAAGAATGGGGAGAGAGGCTTGCTTCCTTTCCTCACTCCTACCAAAGTAAGTCCCAAACGCATGTGTGGATAAAGTGAGAGTTCCTGTGGCCAGGATTCTCACCTGGCCCTGGTTGACTAGCTCACTGCACACCTGTGGGCAATACATGGCTGTGGACTCTATAAAAAGAGCTCCGCCCAGTGCCCTGGGCATGACACGGTGGCAGGGCTGCAAGGCTGCAGGAGAGCAGAGCAGAGGCTGGAGTGGTGGCAGCACCGAGGACAGAGGCCCAGAGGCAGAGACCAGCCTGCTGTATGCAGACTCGCTCTGAGTGAACGGGATTCCCACCTGGAAATAAAGTTGGGTGTAACCCTTTCACCCCAAGAACGTTCTACTGCCATTTTCTTTGGTCACACTGACTCCATACTGAACTTGCCAGGGGCTGAAACCCATTGGCAAGACAGCGTGCAAGGGTTGAATGGAAAAAAGCGAAGCAGACCTTGGAGATTTTCTTTATCATCTTGAAGAGGAAGGACGGGTCCATAAAAAAGAGACTGATGGATTCAACTCCTCAGGGAACTAAAAATGCCTGCTTGTCATCGCAGCCCCGCCTCATCTGAGGTCTTGCTTTCCTGTCTGTTACCTGCGGTCGGCCGCGGCGGGAAAGCAGAGGCCCCTCCTGACCGCGCCAGGTGAGTGGCCGCCTCGTGCTGCATCCGGTGCTGCCACCCGCACCTGTCTGGTCTCATCACGCGGGTGTTTGTCATCCTGTCATTGCGAGAAGGGTGCGTGCAGCACAGTGATTCTTTGAGAGGGAGAAACCACATGCACGGAGCTTTTGTTACAGTACACTGTTAACAATTACTGTTTTGTGATTATTGTTTATCTCTTCCTGTGCCTAATTTATAAATGAAACTTCATCATAAGGATGTATGTGTAGGAAAAAATACAGTGTGAATGGGGTTCAGTACTATCCATGATTTGGGGCACCTGCTGCGGTTTTGGAGTATGTCCCCCAAAGATAAAGGGGGCTGCCATATAAATGAATTTAAAAGACAGATGACCCCTTCTGAGATGTTGATAGGTGAAGGGAATGAAGTTTCAGGTAAACAGAAGGTGCCCCTAGGGTGCTTGTCCCCCTAGACTGCACGCATCTACTGTCCTTGAACAACTTGCTTTGCTGGGTAAACCGCTCCAAGCTTCGTTGCCTTCTGTTTTCCATTTTTGTTGCGCAGCTAGAACCTGCCACAGTTTGATCTCTGTCCTCGAGGGGAAGGCCCCGCAAAGGTCTGGGCTGGGGGCAGGGCCGGGTAATCAGACTTGAGTTCTCAGGTGCTGCTCCGTCTGCCTGGGCTGGAGGGGCTGGAGGTGGGAACAGGGAGCCCATTCAGGGGTGACTAGAGTGGGGGAGGGAGCAGCCCGGATGGTGTGTGATGGAGGCAAGAGCAGGGGGTGGGCTCCAGGCTCCCAGGGCCTGGCATCGAATGGGGCATGAGATGGGGAGGTGCCTTGGAGGTCCCAGAGGGTGTCCAGTGAGGGAGGAGCCGGCTGGCCGGGGACAGGTGAGCAGGGGTCAGGCCCTGGAAGGAGAGGACGCCGGGCCTGCAAGGACACCAAGAAGCAGGGGCCCACGGAGGTGACAGCACAGAAGGCAAACCCTGTGCCTGCCGCCCACCCGGGTCCCCTGGGAATATGTACCAAGTGCAGTAACCCAGGCTCTGCCCCAGAGTCTGATTCAGGCCTGGGGTGAGCCCAGGAATTGCGCACCACTGCCCCAAGGCAGAATGCCTATTTAATCACCAGCTGGAACTACCACTGACTGCCCTCAGCTCTAACCTCCTAGTCCCCACGGAACCGTGAGCGGAGGGGAGGGGACAGCAGGGCCCCAGGGGTGGTTCCGGCTCCTCCGGAGTCTCCCCAACTCCTGCAAACCCCCAGGGACAAGGACAGGGACGCCGTGTCTCCTGGGGCGGGTCACCTGGAGGGGAAGGGGGTGCTGAGCCCTGGAGTTCAAACTGGCCCTCTTCCTAAGTGCTGAACCTGGGGTTGGGGGTTTTGTTTGGTTTTTACGTAACCTGCAGGCTCTGTCATCCAGTTCGTAAAACAAACAGGGCATGATTCACCGTCTCCCTGTCTGGACTCGGCTCCCGGCCTCCTCAGGAGGTGACGTTGGGCTGCCTCTGACACCTACTGTGTCCTCAGCTGGGCCACGAGTCCCTAAGGCTGGGGGGGCTCCAGTGCTGGGACCCACACAAGGGCGTGGCCCCACTGATGAGGGGGTCCCACCTTTGTCTATGAGCACTCAGAGCTTACTGGTATTAACTCCCCCACCCTGCATCTCCTGTATGTGAAGTTGGGGTGCTTCCATCTTCCCCTTGGGCTGCCATGAGACAAGTCATTTGCCAAGTTACAAGGTGGAGCTGGGACTGGAACCGGGGCCTCCTTGCTCCAGACCCATGCGGTTTCCAGGACACCTAACTTGCAGAGAAGGGGCCTTTTGAGCTGGGTTTCGTAGGATGAGCAGGAGTCACCCAGATGGTGAGCAGTTCGGGCGCAGGGAGAAGCAAACGCAAAGGCCGGGAAACGGGGGCCTGTTTGGGAGGCAGCAGCAGGTCAGTGGGGCCGGCTCCAGACGGGTTCAGGAGGGTATGTGCAGCCTGCGGGGAAAGGAAAGGCCTGGATTTTATCTTCTAGACAAAAAGGAGCCGGCAGCATATTTTCAGCAGGGCAAGGCCATGCTTACATGTGTGGTTCACCTTATTAGAGACCCAGGAAATCTATTTGATCATCGGAAAATGAGAAAACGAAGGAAGAGCTAGAGGGCCAAGGCCGTCTCGAGGGAACGCAGAGTACCGCCTGCAGGACTCACGCCTCCCGTGAGGCTGCAGAGCAGCGTTGGCCGTGTTCAAACTGCTTCGAGGGCTTGCCTCTCACGGCAGCCTCTCAGGACTGGGCCTGTAGCTGAGGGATGTTGTTTTCCCCCTGTGACAGGTAAGGAAATGGAGGTGCAGGTGAGTT